TCACTGTTAGACTCCAGGCTTCTCGTGAATGAGGAACACATTCATACAGTCATCACGTTCCTGTGGACTCTAATGAAGTAAATGACACGTTTGATGCCATACAAATGTTGAGTTACTAATGGAGGTAGAAGTCAGTGGAAATCCACACTGTGCTTACTTTGTTTAAAAAACTCTCCTAGAGCCTTAAGCAGTACTAGAAAAAAATTGTAGATAGTGGGAAGATAAAAGAAGAAAAAGCCTCACAGAAGTACACACATCTTCACTTCAGATGTTTTTTTGAAGTGCTAAGTGAAAGTTTATAATAAGATTTTAAAGCACTTCAAAACTAGAACTTGATGCCAGAAATACTCTTGGAAATTAGAGCAGCTTCCCAGTGGCAAGCTCTGCTTAAACCTGTTACAGGTACACACTGGAAGACAATCAGAGCCTTCATGTATTTCCCATCAGATAAAATGTACAGAAGAGAAAAATTATGTCAGCGAAAGTTGGAGCTAACCTGCCCAAATCTTTTACTGTAGCAAAGTCAGGGAGTGACTGGCTCAAATCAATTCTCGGTGAAGTAAAAATGGTTTTCTCTAATTGTACTTACTTCACACACTATCTACTAATTCCTTAGGAACAAAAGAGAGAAGAAACTGGAATTGGTTAGAACAATATACATACTATATATATATATATATATATATATATATACACACATATATATTTAAGTATTTTCTCTTAGAAGCTATTGAAGAGGTTGTTTTAGTTTAAAAACAATCTGAGTCAGCTATGGTAATTGTTTTATTGCTTTGTAAATCAAGAGCAAGCAAATGGTATCTAAAATGATTCTTTCTTTGGACCTCTTCTCATTTGTAGCAATAGCAATTATGGCAAGGAATTATGTCTAGGAACTATGACAAACTTATACAGACCTTTAGCCCTGCAAGTGTTGACAAAGAAGCCAACTTCCACAGTTGCACATCTTATAAAATGGTCCTTTTACCTCACAGGTCAGTATCACTGTAAGTTGTGGGTAAGAGTAATAGGCTGAACATTTCACAAGAAAGCCACCTCAACCTCTTGCTAACTGCTGTGGCTCTGAACTGACGACATTTTTCCTTTTCATGGGGAAGCTGCAGCTTCAGCATCCTCTCCTGGAGCCCCTGGCAGGGTTTCAGGTCATGTGTCAGGGGAACCCTTGCGCACATCACAATGACGGAAGCCAAGTGTTGGCCTGCAAGTATTGAGTACTGCTTGTTCATCTGGGAGTTTGAACAGAACCATGGGTGTTATATAGTTCAAGGGTGCCTGGCAGAAAACTGATGCTCCTGTGGGAGGAGACGGCCAGCAGGCTCAAGTTATTTCTCAGTTGCTATTCCATAGCCCTTTCCTAGTCTGTATGGAATTTGGCCAATAGTTTTTGCTTGAGTGTTTTCTCTTGTTAGTTCCTTGACTTAGCAAGATTTTGGACAGTTAAATAAAAGAGTTTTCATATATTTTCAAGTAGGGTCACAGTGTATACTACTCTCTGGGGGATACTTTATTAATGAATGCAGTATGTGTTCTTAGTAAAAGCCAAATTAAATTGGCTCACTGTTTTTGTCCTGCTAGCTGTAGGTGACATTTAGGTGTGTTGTTTGGTATGGTGACTCAATTTCCTGTAGGATAACTGGCAACTCCACATTGAGGACTTTTTTTTGTGGGGGTAGGGATCAAAAGGTCAGTTATTTGATGTCTTAGAAGACTTGGGTTAAAAATTCCTGAAAGTGAAGGCTTAATAATGATCTTGGAAAACTGTGGCTAGTTAAATTGCCTGTTAACCTAGGAATTTGGAAAAAGTAATATTCTCAGCTCTGTGCTAATATCAACAATAATTTTTTATTCCAGCAACAGTTTTATAAAAAGAAACTGTTGTTTCTTCTGTTGTTAGTAACTATTTTCTTTCTTGCTGGCACACACATGTGTTCAAAGTCACTTTTTGTCATTTTTCAGATTTGTATAGGCATGTAAATGTTGAAACTTAAAATACGTGTATACATCATATTATGATCTTACCCAATCCCTGAGAGTCAAAATGGCTAAGCCATGACTCGGGCATCGAGTAGATCTTCTGAAATAAATTGCCCCTTTTGTCAGTACACCACATTAAGAGCAAATCCTGTACCTAAGTGCATGATGTCTTGAAGCATTAACCTGAAACTTTATTGAATGACTTTTCCACATTAAAAAGTAAATACTGAAACACTATACGTGGAGCAATATCCTGCTAGATCTAAAGCCTGAATTTGTACTTGTGATTTCAGAAAACCTTTAGGAAGTTAGTGAAAATGGGGGTGGTGGGGGAGAGTTCATGAACTGGATGTTCCTTGGGGGCTCAGGCTTTGAGAGAGGAACGGAAGAAGAGCATAGAAAACAGAGCCTTAGAGATGCAGAGGGGACCTCTGTCTAAAAAAATGACTGAAAAGGTGGCAGTGAATAAATCTTACACAATGGCTATGCCTCCAACCCATTGGATTTGCTAACTGTAGACACCTCGAATGACCATAAACTAAGTTAATTTCCTTTTACAATTTCCTATACTCCTGTTTTTTCATAATAGAGGCAGGGAAAAGCAACAGCAAAAGCACAGAGTAAATATACCACTGTGGCGAGTAAGTAATGGTATATGCTTACATATGAAAGGGATTCAGAAAATTAACAATGGTTGTGTTACTGTCATGGGCTGAATTATTGTTTGGGATCTTCAGGTTATAGGATTACAAGGGACTTTGTGTGTAATGTTTCATTTTTATAGTAAGCGTGTAATATTTTATAGTTTATAATCAAGGAAAATGTACAGATAAAGTATGTTATGCTTACATTTAAAATTAGCTTTAAGGTTGTTCCTTTTATTAAGGAAGAAAAGCTTCAATTTTACACTTTAATTCACATGACAAGATTAAGGTAGTTGGTTGTTCAACTAAAGTATGCATTTACAGAGATTGATGCTGAAAAGTAAAAAAGAAAAACAGAGGTAAATTTTAACCTAGACTACTCAAACTGAAGAGCAAAGAGCTCGAGAATCCTTGATAACAACAAACCATGTAACAAACACTTTGAAATTTATTGTTAACTTTTACAAATTCCGTGTAAAAGCCTATCTGGAAAATCCCAGAATCCTGACGTTCTATCTGTGAAATTCTTTGCGGTACCACTGATAATTTGTGGAGTCTAAATTTCAAGTACAGAATTTCTTTGACAGCAATACTTGTAGATTGGAAGACAAAAAAGGGATTCCACTACTTCATGTAAGCTTTTCAGCATCTTTCTGACAATGACGAAGTTTATTAGGGGGACAGTTGGGAGTTTGGACTTCTCCCCCTCTGAAGGGTTGGCGAAACCCCCCACCCCCGTTATTATTGTGAAGTTTTCTCTGAAGTGATCAGGGTAGCGAGAGCATCCTTAGTCCCCAGATCAGATTTTGTAAATAGAAGCCTATAATGTCTTTGGGTATGGTCTTTGCGCTTGTAGTTTATTCTGTACACTGGGTTAGAAACACCCTTCCAGACTTTCGTCCTTGGCATCACAAGACCATCCTGTTCTTGTGCAATTCCTCAAAGGAAGCACGTATGCAGGGCATGTGTAAACTCTCCTTACCCTGTGGTTCATTCATGTTGCTGTTGCTTTAAGATAACTCTTAAGCAATATGAAATATAGCATATTGTCAAATCCTAAGAAGTTGCGACCCACGACACTACGTTTACTTTATTATGTCCTCTCCCAAATTTACAAGCCTGGTACTTATGGGCTGGGTTGGGTACTGAAAGAGTCTGCTCTTAATAGAAATGCTCTTATCCCCAACTCTGCTCCCTTAAAGTAAGTAAATCCTCAGCCCTCAGAATTCCCCAAAACCTAAACCTCCAGAAATGATTGGACCGGTCCTAAATCACCTGGCTCAAGCCGCCCACCAGGCCCTCCTGGTGCGACCTCGCAGGAAGCTGCGGGCGGTTGAGACGTGGAGGCTCTGGCGACCAAAGGGACAGCGCGCAGGGTCCCCACGGGGCAGGTGCGCGGCCGCACGCGCCTGCGCGCCACGTCCCGCCTGCGCCCCGCCTGAGCCCCGCGCCGGGCACGACCCCGGGCGGCGGGCTGCGGGTGCTCCACGCCGGGTTTTCCGCCGCTCTCCTCCTTCAGGCGGCCCCACCGCAGCCCTGCAGACACACGCGGGCGCCCGCGCCTCCCGGCTACGCTTCAAAGCGATCGGCGCCCGGCTGCGCTGAGTGATGCCACGGCGAGGTGGCGGGGCTGAGTGGAAGGACGCAGCGGGTGGCATGGACAGGCTTTTGCAATTTGGAATCTTTTTGTAAGGGAGTTGAGGAGGAGCCAGACTGCGCCTGGCCGTGAGGGGCGTGAGGGGGGAGTGTTCCCGGAAAGCCGCGGCGATGGAGCAGTGCTGAGCCCGCCGCCCGAGGACTTGAGAAAGAAAACAGGAAACGTGGTGGCCGCGCACCCGGCCGCGGCTGATTCATTCGTTTCAAGTGCGGCGCAGAAGGCTTGGCAAGGCGGGGCGGGCGTGGGGCCGCCGCTCAGACCCGGGACCAAGGAGACCCGGAGGTGGACCAGACGCTGCTCTGCGCAGCGGGTACCCAGGCGTGCGCGCCTGCCCATCGCCATCCTCCAGAGTGTGGAGATCCAGGACTAGGACTCGGACCCGCCGCGCTGTCCAAAAGTCGCATCCTGGTTCCTCAACCCACGTCCCAGTGTAAAAGTTGGCTTGTCGCACTTTGCGCGCCCCTCCCTGGAGGCCGATCCGCGACGCCAAGCTGGAGAAACTGTGCCTGCCCGCCGTCCGCCGTCCCGGGAGCAGAGCCTCGGCCCCCATCACGCTGCCGGGCTTGGCAATATGAAGGAGCAGCCCTCATGTGTGGGCACCGGGCATCCGAGCATGGCGGGGTATGGCAGGATGGCCCCCGTTGAACTCGCTGGCCGCCCCGTGAAGCGCTTGAGAACTGAGTCCCCCTTTCCCTATCTCTTCGCAGAGGAGGCCTACCAGAAACTGGCCAGCGAGACCCTGGAGGAGCTGGACTGGTGTCTGGACCAGCTAGAGACCCTGCAGACCAGGCACTCCGTCAGTGAGATGGCCTCCAACAAGGTAAGCCCCTGCTCTGCTGTCACCGATGCCCCTAGGCTGCTGATACCCATGTTGGTGAAGCACCAGTCCCTGTGGCCCTGGGGAAATAGAGAAATTTGTCACGCTTATTGCATGTTAGCTGTTCTGCTTCCTTGGAGGGAGGTTCCTGTTTCCATGCCTTCCTTCTGTCTTCCACACACTCTAGACAAACTAAACATTTTGCAAAAGCAACTTTGACACAGTTTGATTTAGTATCCCCAAGTCGCAGGGTTCCTAAGTGACACTTTGCCCTTGTAGCAGAAACCCAGTAGGGTCTGGTGGCTTGGCATATTTAAACGTATTCTTGGGATTCCTGGTTGGAAATGAGTTGCTGGGTGTCACTTGGATGCCACCATATCTCAGAAGAGTTCACTGAACTTGGAATCTTAACCCTCATTTATCTAGTTGTCAGGGCACCCTGTAAGAACCCAGCCTTTATATATTCTGTGCGCTACACACATCCACAGGAAACGTTAACAAAGTTAGAAGGTTCACTTTGATCATTGCCTTATGTTTCCTTCAGTCTTGGAGACCAAGTCCAGGTTTCTGAGGTCATTTAGTTACCACCAGGCTTGAGCTGGGCATTTGTGCAAGACGCTGGTCTTGGCAGTTAGTGGAGTTTGGGGGGCTGAGAAGTAACCTTCAGCATGAGACAACCGTAAAATAGCCTGAAAGGCAAGGTAGGGTATTTTCAGTTTTGCTGCATTTTGGAGAATTCTCATTCTTTTTGTCTTTAGTTCTGTAAAGGAATAATGGGGATTATGTATGTTTTTAATGACTTGGCTGGATGAGAGGACAGAAAAGGAGGCATGTGCATGTTGGATGCAGATGGCCTGGACGAGGGATTCAGCCACTGAGGACTAGTAGTAATATTGTGTGGCAGTTAGACATAATTGCCTCTTAAAGATACTTACATATTTTTGGCCACTTATTTACAAGGTCAGGAAGGTTATGTCATTTTACTGTTTATGTGTACATGTCTTTCAAGAGTGGTGCCTTTCTTTTTTTAGCTTACTATAGTTTTTATCCCACCTGTTTTATTTCTCATGCAGTTATTACAAAAATGCCATCACCTATCAGCCTCTTGATTGTCTTATCTGTTAACATTGCTTGTATAGATTGCATTGTTCTTGAAGTGAAAAGTTGGCTTCAAACAAATAAAAAGGGTCGCTGAGACACCGCCTGGTGATGCTAACCTACCACTATGCACGATGACCTGTCCATGCCATGTCTATACGGATTATCACATCTATGGTGTTTTGGTTCTTTGTTTTTTTCTTTGTCATTTGTGCCTCATTTGTAAATTTGGCATGGCTCCTTATTAGAATGACCTGTTAGTGCTCTCTTACAGGGACAGTCACTCCCTGCAGGGGCATTAGGTGCCATTGTTCTCATTTGATTAGCAAATTCTTATTTTTATAAAATAGAATTTTTTTTACAACTTGATTCACAGTAGCAGTAGACATATGCTGAATAGCTCCGGTATTCTGAATGCTGAGTGAGACCCTTCTCAGTGAGTCTGAGTTCTTAATTCTTTTGTCTGGTTGATTCTGTGTAGTAAAAGGCAAAACAAATTCTGCATGCACCTAGCCAGATGCACAGTTTGTTTATGTTTTCAAAATTATTTGACAGTACTTTTTCAGCAAAATGCACCTGAGCAGCAACAGTGACTTTCCCTAAAATCCATATTCTTAATGACAAAACCTATGTTGGAGTTTAATAATTGATAGGAGATCTAATAATGTATGTTAAGTGGTTTCAACTGTGAGGTAGTTTATGTGTATACAGTAAGATAAAAACATTCTGGGAAACAATAATTGATCAAAATAATACCTTTCTTTCATGAGCACCAAATAAGAGGGATTAAAAAAAAAAAGAAAAACTTCATTGCAAACACTCAAAAACTGAACTCTGAGTTAACTGTTGCAGGGCTTGTGTGCAAGGTGGGTTTATTTAGTTGAAGTGAAGTATAGGCAAAGTCGTTCTAGCTGTGTTTATGTCTTATGGTTAAAAGATTATTGACAACACTTATTTTTAAAATTAAGCTTACCTCAGCTGAAGCTCTTGTTAAACTTCTAGTATCTAGGTCATTCATTTCTTTTTTAATTCATTCGTTTCTAAGTTAGTGTTCTCACATGACTTTTTAGAGCTGAAAAGGGATTAGCCTAGAAAGAAGGAAAACCCTTGGTATGGGTTGTAAAATTACCCTTGTGCTTGATAAGAGACGAAGAAGTCACATCCACAAGAGGCATAAACTGAGTTGAAACAGCTGATCTGAAGGTCCCTGTGAGTGACACCTACCCTAAATTTGGACTGTAAATACGTGGAGCTTACTCAACACATCACTACATTGCTTTTTGGTTATTATCTTATCGCCACCCATCCTGTCAGTGTTTTCAGCTTATTCTCTTTTTTGCCTTTGAAAAAATGTGGATAACTTTCCTCTAACTTCTTCTCTGTGGAGGATTTAAAATTTTTACTTCAATAGATTAGAAAGTACAATGAAACTGTGAGTAAGAAGTCAGGATTTTGCATTTTAATAGAAAATATTGATTTTGGGTGATGGATATGGATGTTAGGAAGAAAGAAACTGATGCCTTAATCTATTTAACAAAAGGGTTAACAAATAATGTATGTATGTTTAAAAATCATAACAAAAAGATTCTAAAACACTTAATAGTTTTTAAACGGTGCTTTTGAAGCCATGAGCTACATTTTCTGTATTTGTATTATACTGGACATGTTGGTTGTTGATGGTATTGAGACAGGAAAATTATTGAATTTTTGGCCAAGGCCAGGGTAGGCTGTAACACATGTAGGGCGCTTGCACCAAGTGAGGTAAGGGATTCCAGATGGCATTTAATTTGAGTAATTAAATATACAGTACTTACCCTCACAAGCACATTAATCTGTCCGAGATTTGTACAGATTTCCTCTAGAATTCATTGCTACAATTGAGGGCAATTTTAGTGAGGCTTCAAAGCTTTGGAGGCAGACAAGCCTGGAAGTTCAATCATGATTTTGCTCCTTGCTAGCTGAGTTACATTATTGCAACAATGCAGACTTTTCCAGCTTTGTCTTTAGCATAATATGGGCATACTAATAGCTATTTTGAAAGTTCAGTGTAGGAGTTTAGGATTTAGGTCAAACTTTATTGATTGCCTATTTGGCTACAATATTTACTCTTTTTTTGTTGTTTGCTTACCGTTCAGATGTAATTTATGCTAGACATTTTATGTTTTATGGATTTTTATAAATCCATGAACTATATTTATCTAACTTAGATAATTGAGCATTTTGAAATTCTAATTAGAAATTTAGTCTTTTCTGAAATTCAGGTGTAGAATTCCAGACAGAAGTAAATACTTTTCAGTTTTCTGAAAACACAGCCCTTATTAATCTTTAGGATAGATAAGATGTCATGTGGGTTGGTGAGTCCGTCGTTTTGAACAGATTTTACAAAGCTAGAATGCTTTTTTTAGTCAAATATCTTCTGATGCAGAGTAGTTTCAGGTTGCTTGGCTTTCTCATATGGAAGTATATTGGGGTTGGGAGGTGGTGAAAAGGGCAGGACAGGATTCTGGGCATCAGGGCTTGCAATGAGTGTGTTCTGGAACCCTGTAACTTAATCCTCTTGTGACCTAATGGTACACATTTCAGTGGAAGTGCAGTGATGTTTGAAGGAGAAAATGAAATTATTTTGAGTTCTCCTAACAACATACCAGAATAAAAATCTTCATTGTTTTTCCCTCTACTTTTGGGGACAGTTCCAAAGCTTGTCATTGCTGGAAGCTACTGAGGTTCATGCTGAAAGTATTGAAGTTAGGATTCAAGCATCCTTCTAAGAGACTTAAGGGTTTTCTATAGTTCATTCCAAAGGTACTTAGACTAGCTTTGCAAATGTGGTTATGACTTCTTTTTGGAATTTATTTTGTCTCTTTGCTTTTTAGCAGACATTTCTCACTTGTTTCTGTTGCCTATAAATTAAGTTGCTTTTCTGGTGAGGTTTTTCTTAGTGCTTTCTCTGGCTGCTCCCCCTGCTGGCATGTAATGGTCAATGTATAGCATAGACTCAGCAGTCTGCTGATTTTCTTCCAGGCAGGAAGGATGCTGGAAGAATTTGAGATGTTCCTAAAAATGGCTTAGTCCTAAGATACATCAGCAATGTATAAGTACAGGGTAATAGCAGTGAATGTATAACTTTTTCTAAGAACAAAGCTAAGTTAGTTGGAAAAGGGGTTTTAATTTATGGGGCGAAAAATCAAGTTTTCTCCATTAAAATACTAAAATTTAGAAAAGAGGATTATTAAGAGTTAATAAATATACCTATAGGAAAACATTAACTTTTGAAAGAAAATATCTTCTATAGATATAGAAACTTGATTTTTTATATTTTGAGTTTTATTTCTTTTAATAAAACTCAAACTTTGAGTTTGATTTCTTAATAAAGGTGGATGGGGGGAAGATTTATGTAGCTTACACATCATGCCCTAAATTGAGCATGAAGGATTTAGAATCCTTGTTTTTATAAACCATTAGACAAATACTTTCTTTGCTTTGAGGTAATAATGAAAAGAAGGAAACTCAATGGAATTTTTTGTTTCATTGAGTAGTAAGGTTCTTGACTCACTTGGCAAGACACTATGGACTAAAAGAACAATAAAATGTTCCAATTGTCATCATATCACTTCCTATGTCAGTATTGTGTCAGTAAGCTTAACTATTCTTAATATTTAATTATCAAAATTTGTCATTTTATGAATCTGTAATAAATTAATCATTACTAGAAACTTGCTTTCAGTTATTACTTGTTGATTAACTTATGGGAACATTGTAACTTTTAAGAGCATTGTGAATTCTACTTCTCTTTAAAAAAAAAATCAAAATATAAGGCTTATCCAGAATAAAACAGTACTTTACCACAAATTTTTTCCAAGTAGCAAGGATGATAGGCAATACATTTGAAGCATTTAAGATTTCTG